ATCTTACTTTTCCCCACCTTTTGCAACAAATTAATCTGAGGAGTTGATCAGCCCTGCTGTTTAAGTTTTTCTTCGTAAAAAAGACTATCAAATGACTTCACCAAAAATCTGGTCCACAACATTCAAACTGTCTGCCTATATGTTCAGCTTGTTACTGGCATGAGGCTAGTGTGAAGTGTGTCCGCCTGTGGACGCTTTGTGAAGGTAAAGGGGCTCAGCAGCCCCCGCTGAACAGAAGAAGTCAGAAAGAGTGAAAGGAGTCCGTCTCCAAACAAGCAGCTACAAAACAACCACCAGAAATAGAAACTTGATTTGTTGCTAGTGGTTTTTAACAAAGAAAATGCTGCTAAAAGGATTAATAAAGTCTCCAATTCAACTCAGAACAGAAACGAAAGTAAAAATTCTCCGGCATGTTTACACTAAAAGATCGCTGATTCGTTCATTTTGCTGTCAATCAAAAAGGGATTCAGCCTCAGACAGATCATCCAATCATCATGCAGAAGCTGAGCGTCCGGGCCGGCTGAGGTCAGCCCACTGCTCCATAGACCCCCAGAGACGCTCAGCGTCCGATGGGCGGGACAAAGCCATCATTTATCTAATGACTCGTCTCATTTCGCTGCAGTCTTTGCATCGCTAATGAGCTCCGTAGACGCTCAGCGTCCGACTGTTTAAAGCACCGTGAAGCTGGGGGAATGAGTGAAATGAGGAAAGCCGTGCCATTACTGTGATAAAAAGCTGATTCTGAACAAAAGTTGAGCGCGTTGTAGCGCATATTTGGTCAATGGCGTATACACAACAGTATATATTTGATCTTTTTTTTTAAATTTTATTTATTTATTTTACATTTTAGGGGAAGCTGAGCTTCYCTTGCAGTCTCAGAGCAATCACCTCTGGTGGGAGAAAACCAAAGTAGCTGAGGAAAACTCACGAGTGCACAGGGACAACAYGCAAACTCCACCCAGAAAACCTCAGGCTAGGAGGCAATCCTGTGACCTTTTCACTGAGAGGTGACAGTTCAAACCACTGCTTCTGCACATTCTGTTGGAATATGAAGTGTTTGTGCATCTGTATGAGTGTATTTCAGGTCAACGATGAGACAGACAGATGAAGTGGGTTCTATTCCTCAGAGTGTTCATCGAGTCCCAAAACTTATTATTATGGTCTAATTTTAAAAACGGTCTATTGAGCTGCCCTAGATAAACACACACACACACACACACACACACACACACACACACACACACACACACACACACACACACACACACACAC